TCAGTAATTAGACTTAAGCCCAAATTCCGGAAAGTCTTATATTTCATTCATAAGTAGGTTATCGAGACTATTATTAGATCACACATATATATATATATATAGGCCCTATTTCGTTTAAGGTGATAAGCGAGTTAGAAAGTGCAGTCCACTCCTCTCTGAATCAGAATGTACCTTGGGAAGGCAAGACTATACGAAATCAAATGTGAACGTGAGGTATAATCATATCATTGTGGAAAAATTCAACTACCAGTCCCCATTATCGTCACAATAGGAACAATACATTTCAGCAAAATCCTGTCGGAATCTCTTAGTTTAAAAGACTTCCTTAAACTCCAAACAGTTACGTTTGATCTATACTAAGCTTCTATTTAGATGAGAAAGTAACCAATAAATTTGGGTATAAAAAATAGGTTGAGGAGACAGGTAGCATCGTAAGAGGTTAAAGGGAAGGGAACTTTATGTCAGGAAGTTGCGAACCTGTCCCAAACCTAATTGAAAATTTCCACTGATTAGTTAATATCAAATGGCTTGAACTTTGCTTCACCAAATACTAAAGATTTCAGGGAAGAAATAGTGGTTAAATTGATAGATTTATTAGTTAGATTCGGATAGAGTACTTGGAATGAGATTGAATGCACCTTTAACAGTTGTGTATGTTAATCGCGGCCTTGCCGATTTTTAGGGGACGTTACGGAACACATTCGTTCAGTGTGTTTATTTTCACAGTACCATTCTTTTCACTCCCTATTCATACCCTTGATATTGACTAAGCTTTTGATAAATTAACTAGTCAACGCTTGTTGGATGTGGAACTAACGCTGAATTATCAAAATATTTGGAATACTAGGTTCCTTTTCTGAAACAACAAAAACAACTTTGACCACCTCTTGAACCTAAGCCAATTCTCATCACTTAGGGAACATTACTAATAACATAATTGATAAAAATAATGTTCGTATAGAAGTTATTTGATTGTGCTTTCGTAACTCGGTTGTATTGTCAGAACTACCTTGAGAAATTTATCTTCTCAAGAGTCCATTGTATGTATGATACTTTCCAGAATCGGACCGTGTACTTGGTACATTCCCAGACGTCTCGCCTACATCGTCAATGATCCTCGCCATTCCTAGCACCACATTACGACTCTTATCTCTTTGACGAGTTGTAGTGTGGTGCTAACTATAGCAAGGCTCATTGACGATGCCTATCTTTTTTTTCTCTGCTTCAATCTTAATCTAAGTGTTCGGCAATCTCAGACATTATCTTTATAACACTTAGTTTTTTGACAAAAATATTGCTTGATGCTCCAAATCAGCTTTATGGAAGGATATTTTTTGATTTATCTCTATCATTATGCCATGTATTCCCATAGCTTTAATTTGGAAGTCATTGTTTTTCTTATAAACCATATACATGCTTTTATCTAATAAGGTGAATAGTAAATCATAGGGCTTATTTGTTCCATGCTTATTTATTGTTCGCACTCTATTCAGCTGCATGTATGTTACCGTTTAGATATTATTTTAAGTGGCCTAAGTTAATTAAATATGTGGACTGGTACATCACATCTCACAAATGAGTGTGATCAGAGTAATCATGAGTTTTTGTATGCAAAAGATGACTTTCTAAACCTTATCGCGACCACCAATATTTCTGGAAGGTAAGGTAGGTCTCGGTTCACCAATGGTTTTGAGTACTTGTTCAAACGCTGATAGATGTCTTTAAATCATGTTCTTGGCTACTCCATTCTCTTAACCTTCCTGTAATTTTGGCATATTTTTTCCGAGCAGACTAAGATAAATGCGTTGCGATTAGACTGAATAAAACCTCACTGTATACACAAGACTTTCATACCTGGCCTAGCTCCACTTGGTTGGGAGGCAAACTTTGCCACCCCTCATTTTAATCACATTAATCCTCCTTATAGATTTATTTAGAAATTGGCTTAATTAAGCAATGTATGTGCTTTGAATTAAAATTGGTCTGTAAATATTCTGTTTGAAAGCCCCATAATGCTTATTTTTTATTTTCCGTCTGAACTATCGAAATTCTTATTTGTGTCACGTCAAATTTCCTGGCGAAATTATTTTTCTAGGAGGGTTTAGAGGTGACATAGAAAAGTGAATTATCCTTTCTATCTTATTTCATCAGTATGTTGCCTCTCTTTAATTTTCACGTATTTATTGTTGAGCCAAAAATCATCTATACTGTATGAAATCTAAATCCTGAAACCCTACCTAACTTCCTTGGTGTGGGTTGCCCAATAATTCAAATATCAATAACTCTAACAAGTCTACCTAACCCTGTCGCGGCACACCCTGAGCATCTCGTGGCAATTGCATGAATAACTATATAATATATTATCTAATATAGGAAATAGTCTTTTAATGACCATCAGCGAATAGGCTTTGTTCAATCCTTATAAGGCTAAGAGTAGCTCATCTTTCGCTGGGAAGGCTATCTTTTTTTTATTGTGACGTGACTCTCCAGTCCAAAGGGAAAGTTGGTTATAGGGAATTTTTGATGGTCTCACCGGAAACCTAAGGAGGATTATCGCGTAAGTAAGACTGTCGAATTGTGTGAATAAGTCCTCGGCTCACCGTCACGCGACCCCGATGAAACTACCAAGTTTTCGTCTGTACCACCGTGACATACATCATCAGAGCAAGATTCCATACTTTACCAAATAGAGCAAAAATATATTAGAACGAGAGAAGAAGATGGTCGGCTGCAACCCTAGTCGCTTTTTTTGTACACCAACATCGCGATCTTAATGAAGACTCCCCTGATTTCGTTGGCTACAATACCCAGTTTTTCTTCACATCTTTTTTATCTCTGATGTACGACACTTCATGCATGGAAATCTACGATTTCCTCGTGCTTTACATATCTTATCTAAAAAACTAACGAGTAGAATTCTTAATTGTTATGATTATGGCCACCTCTTCTGGCATTATATTATTTTATAAATAGGGGGACAGATTAACATTGTTGTCTAGCAAGCCAGGCTAAGGATTGGTGTGTATCACCGATGGTAATAGTCATAGTAAATTGTGCTTCCCAAGTGCCTAAGAGCGATATGCTTGTGGATTGATTGCGCAAAATTTAAGAGAGCATTTATTTAATCTTTAAAAACTAATTTGAATGTGTTTTTGGATTTGTATTTTATCTTTTTTTTGATATTTGAATCCTCGAGCTTCTTAGCCTAGACACGGCTACTGAATTCATAGGTTATCTCCTTAAATTCCATTCCAAATGATGCTTTTAATACCTGTTTGCTTTTCTATCAAACTTTCTTAATCCAGGTCCTCCTATCAACATGTTCTACGCTACTGCGTCTCCTCTGAGTCCCGTCGATCTGGAGCCTTTCTATGCAACCGTCCGTCCTTCCTTACTCTCTTCTACCATGCCAGCCAGCTTTGCCTTCCCGCCGATGCCATCAGTAACAGCAACATCTGCCACAACTATTGCCAGCTTAACGACTAGTCCTCCGGTAGGCTCTACAGCTACAGCTTCCATTGCATCTGCAGCTGCCCCTTTCTCCGGCTTTCGTCATCCGTCAAGTCAGACAATCAGAGACCAATTTTTTGTCGCTACTTGTTCAGGCATAGGGGCTGCTGGCTCTTTCCTCGGCCCTGCTTCTTCATATTACTTTTCCACCACTGTATCCGAGCCCTCCAAAACGACAGGCCCAACGAATATAGGAATGATGCACCATTCAGAAGCTGCCACCACTTTGACGTCGTCCTCATCGGTATCTGGAAGTCCGGTGGTCCTTGATACGCCTGATCACACCTGTGTTACTGGCTTGGCGGACGAATTATCGGGTTTATCTCTAGTTGGTCTTGGTGGGACAGGCTCTGGATTTGGATCAGGGTGTGGCTCTGGATCTGCCTCTGGCGAATGCAGCCTTGTTCCAGGGGGCTCAATTGCTGCTGGCACAAGTGGTTTGGAAATTAACGCAACTGGCCTTCTACAACGACTGGACTCGGCTTCTTCACTTTTGGAGATGACTAGTGGGGAGGCATGGAAATAAGAACTCTCGAATCTAATCTATAAGGTGTCGAAACTTTCAGACTTATTAGGGATGTTACTGAGCTCTGGCAGCTGAAAGCTGGATAAATCAAAAACTTTCGGGTGAGATTTTTTGCGATGAATTCTTTCATTTTAGGATAGTTTGTGACAAAAATTGTTTTTGTTCTGCCTTTTCATCCTTTTTGAATATCTATATATAGCGGAATCGTGTATTTATCTATGCAAATTTGCGGGAGTGCGCCCACGCATCCGTTCTTTGAGCGGATAGAATTTTAATTCCTTTATCAACCCATTTTTTCTAAACTTTTTTTTATAGACCGTTCAGCACGTAACTTGTTTTAGGCTCACTTCGTGGATTGGCATATTAGGCAGCTTTTAGTTTTTTTTACCTTTTCTTGAAATAACTCATACGTAACGGTCCTCGTATGATTTTTTTGCGCCTAATGTACTAATTAATAGCTTGGGTGTTGATTTGAATTAGTGCTGAGGGCTAATCCTCCTGATTTTGAAATTAATCCTATGTTTTATTTAATTATTTAGGTATTTTGATGAGGAAGCCCTTCGAATTGTGGGGATCATATTTCCCATAAAGGTGAGGAGCTAATAGGGTTATTGCAGAAAAAATTGTCCATTAACTCTGTATGGTTTCTTTGCGTCACTTATCGTGAATACTTGTGGACTGAGCGCATGCTTCTGAGAATTTTATCTTTCACAACATCATTGGGGCCAACACATAAATAACTCCATTCACACTTTGAAATTTTCAATTGGTTGTTTGTTATGTTAATCCGTGCTATTATTCGGGTTTTGTAGACATGTTATACATATGAAACAATTGGTGACGAATCACAAATATAAAAAATAAATCTGGTTAGCTAGCTATAATGAATTGATAACCTCTTTTTCTGCACTCCTCCGCATGGCTATAAAATCTGGCTACCGGCATGGTAAAATAATAGATCTGTTCCTAATATAAATCGTAAGTGTTCTTTTCTGGCAGCTTTTCTTTTTAAGGTTTGTTCATATAAATAAGTATGTCATTGCAAAGACGAATAAATCACCAAATAGAGTCTTTAGAGTAATTCAGAACCATCTTTTTGAGCTACTTTCTTTATAGTAGGGTAAATAATTATTCTCATTTTTAATTAATTAATTAATTTGTGAGCTGCCTGTGTTGATCTTATATAGCATCAACGAATTTAGCTTAAAGGTATATTATATTAAGTGCTTGCGCTTACCTTTTATGAGTACCTGAAGTTCGGCTCGAGTTTGTTTGAATCTTTTTTTCATGCATAAATGATGTTATAAAATTTTTTTTAGTTTTGACTGCAGCTTATTAACTAAGATCTATACTCACCTTAAATCTCATAGGGTGGTGAAGGACTGACAATCAAATTTTTCAACGATAATACGAGTGGGCCTCACGATGCCATTTAATTCCAGCTGGTCTTGCCTCTTAAAGGTTTTCATGATCATGACTGAACTGTAGTCTCGACCTCGCCTGGGTCTCACCAGCATGCTGAAAGTGATCTCTATCCTGTGATCCATTGGCACCAGTGGGAGTGTGATATCGAAAATAAGGGCTCCACTCTCGGATTCGATCATTAAGAGTTCAAAACCACAGTTCATCCTGGATGAGAATTTATTTTTGGTAGGTGACGCTATTTGCAATTCATTGGCATTATGAGATCTTGTATCGTTGTAGGAAAATTCAACAATTGGTCCTTCATTGCCTAATGCGACTTTAGGCGACTACTACTCCTATTCAGGATATCGAAACCTATTCATTATGAATATAATTTACTAATTAGAAAGTAGCGCATTTGCAACCGTTTGTTTGACGAATAAATATCTCTTGCTTGGGAATAAGGTTGATATCAAGAACATGTAAAATAATAGAAGATATGAATACCATGACATCGATCTGGTATAATCACAGTCTTGACACGTCATGAGCCAACACACAGTAACAGATTTGCCAGGATACGCAACACCCCGGAAACGAGTG